GTGCTGTGAGGCACCACTGGACTTAGGGGAAATAAGGAAGCTGGCAATGTAGTAAATCACAGGGTTTCACAGCGATTGGCACATGCATTGTCTATGCTGATGGGTATCAGAAGGTTATAGGTGAAGGGACAATAAATGGCATTTATCAGTTATTAACCCAAGCCTCTGACATGCCAAGCTCACCTGTCATAACATGTTTCTATGGGAACAACCTCAGGGGAAGGAGTCCAGTGAGCCAGGAAGTTCAGATTTCCGTTGCTGAGCCAAATCCTGCTCATCTTTCAAGCTGCAGATCTACAGCCTCCTTCCTCATTAGTCTAGTTTTCACTGATTAGCTCTCCTTACTCTGAACTCCTTTAGCACTTCGAGTCTTACCACTTACTTTAATATGACTCTATACTCTCATTTTGTACACTAATGTTTGATGTTTTATAAGCCTTATCTTCCCATTCATTTAAGCTTTCGTTTGTTTTTTACTTTGTTGTTGTTGTTGGTAAACCCACCAACTAGCTTTAATTTTTTTTTTTAAGAGAAACATCAACCTGTTATTCCCCTTATTTATGCATTTACTGGTTTACTCTTATGTGCGCCCTGACTGGGGATCAAACCCACAACCTTAGCATATCAGATTGACACTCCAACCAACTGACCTACCCAGTCAGGGCTAAGCTTTTGTTTGCTTTAAGAGAAAATCCAGTAGGCATTTATCTGCTAAATGGTAGCACCAGACCAACAATTTGAAATTTAATAAGAGGAACACAGTGCTGCTCTGGCAGGCATTTTTCCATTAATGGCAGGCGTATATAGGCTGCAAGACTGGTAAGCAAAGAGGTCTCTTGGGCACCTTGAGGTGATCACTACTGGTATTTAGAAGTTGTTAGCAGGTCCCTTTTGACAGTATGTTATTATTCCTACATTTAGAGTGGCCAGGTTTAGCAAATAAAAATAGCATAGAAACCCTGTTAAATTTGATTTTCAGATACATATGAAGTATAAGTTTGTCCCAGGTATTGTATGTCCCAGATATTTTATCTGGCAACTCTATTTCCACTCGCTAATGATCAGTTTGGATATAATGTGTCTCAAGACCCAACCCTGTTGTTGTAGTAGCTAGATGCAAGAGCTTTGATTTATTAAGGGCCTACTATGTGCCAATAAGAGTATCAAGAACTTTGCAGAAAATATTCACTTAAGCCTTCCCATAACCCAATAACCCTGTGAAATAGGTACATTCCCTTCAGAGGGAATATGTAGCAACCACAACTCCTCCCTACCTCCTACCTACAGATTAAGTAGTACTCTCAAGGTCACATGATTAGATACCAAAGAGCCAGATTCAAATCTGAATCTCACTCCAGCATCCCTGCTGCAATGCCCACAGGTTAAGTATAAAACATGAAATTTACAATTTCATAAAAAATCTCATTTAAACTTTCTTTTACAAAGTAGTTTAAGAGATGTTTTTTCCCCCAAATTATCTTTTGAACTAGGTAGTAAAAACACCAGAGGACAATTATAACAATATTTATGAAACAGCTATTTTCAAATGATATTGCATCAGTCTAAATCTTCTGTTTGCCTTCCGTAACCCCCTAACACACACATTTTACCCAAGCTCAATATATAAAGACTACTTTGCAGTGAACATAACCTTAGAATTATCACCCAGTTTAGATTTCAGTTGTGTCAGCAACTATCTATTGAGCCTTATTCTTTCAGTGTATAAGTATGTTCTTGTTTTAAAATAAATTTAAACTTATAAAAGTTCTTGAATTTTTTTGTGCCTAAAAGATGTTCAAAGTTAAAAGTAATAATTCACCAAGTAATGGAATCATTGCCTGTTTCTCTATCAAAATTAAATGTAACATTCCAAAGCTTCTTTTATTGTACTCTATGGAAGTGTCTAAAACAGTAACTATTGAACTACAAGAAACAAGAAATACTTTCTGGCTATTTAACATAAATATAACTATGTAAAATACTAAATAAAAAAGGTATACCAAATTTAAATTCTTCAATGTTCTTTGTCATCAAATCTTCATTATATGATTCCAGAAGAGTGTATAATAATGTGAAGGGAAGAGGTGTATGAACATGATAAAAAAAAATTTTTAAAAATTAGTATGGCAAATCATTCTACAGACCAATAGATATTAACCACAGATTGGAAAGCTCTCTTTTAAACCAAAGAGACAAGTTAAAAAAGAAACAGAAAGGAGCTTCCAGAAACACAAATTTCTCTGATGGTGAAATATAAGGAATTCCATTTACATTGATTTTTAAACCTCTTAAGAATTATCACAGGCATTAACTATACATAGAGTGTATTGTTTGCTGAGCAGAAAGACCACACTAGTAGAGATCACTGTGTGCTTTAAATATTAAAGTAATCATCACAGTGAAGTAAAATAAGCTGATCAAGTTTGTCATATGGGTTTTAGGTTACCCTAAGATGAAAGGCTCACCTCCCACATTCAAAGAACAAACAATAAGCTGATTTAATTTAAAATAGACACACGGCAAATGGCTGCCACAGGAGGAGGCAGTGGATTGGAAGTGGGAATGAAATTCAACCTTTTGCTCTGTAAAACTTCCTGAAAAGGTTGAATATTTTTGAACGAGCACATATTAATTTTGTAAAATGTTAAAGCCATCAGAGAAAAGTGAAAGAAATTATAATAATGGTCAACCCACTGGTCTCAACTTTGAAAGGAAGGAAGGGAGAGGAAAAGGGCCAGAGGATAACTGTCCTCTGCTCACCATTAACTCAGCCAATTTGGTCTAATTAGACCAGTTTCACATTATTCTTTACATTACAGACCTGAACTACAAAGTGGAACCTAACTCCTCAGAGGAAAATAAAGCAAGCAAATCTCAAAACTACTATGCTATGGCTAATACTCAGAGAGGTGGGTATTCAGTGTTCAAATCCTGTACAATCATACATAAAGTGAGCGTTTTAAATGGAGTTGATGGGCGAGGGCAGTGAGGAGTGGGCAGGGAAAAAGCTTTAGTCCAAATGGTTAGAAGGCTACTCCTGACACACACACCCACCACCACCACCACGAAAAATGATGTCAGAGGGAAGAACTGTCCAAAGTTCTTACTGTGAAAACCTGCTTCCCAAACTTACAGATTGCACAAGGACACCAGGCCTCTCTAACTTTGGAATTCAGCTGAGCATGCTCTGTGTTTGCCGCAGGCCCACTGATGAAGCCTGACAGAAAGTGAGGCAGAGAAGTTCAAGAAATGAAACCAGAAGGTTCTTTTGTTTTTGCTTTTTCATTACAGTGGGTATATTGTGTTAAACACATTGCTAATTTTGAGAGATGTGTTTTCGTTTACCTGACTTTATTATAAGAAGTTGTAAGGGCTCACTAATGGTTCTGTCCTACTTTCTCATTATGGGACGTTTACCTGTCTGCCTTATAATCACCTGGTGTGTTAACATGAAGATCCCTGGGTCCCACTCCTGAACTATTCTCTCAGAATTAAAGTGTTGCCTGCTGAAGGTAAGTATTAGGCAGCTAATACAATTCTGACTTACTTTGAAGAATGTCTGAACCCAGTTCTGACCCTCTGGCTGCGCTTCCTCCTCGCTCAGAACCAGCACTTCCTTCTGGACTTCTCTTCCCTGCAGAAGGTGGAGCTGGCTGTAGTACCTGGGGGATGGTCAATGGGAGGCTATTGGGGGCAACAAAGCACTTGGGTGTGCTGGCCAGGGTGTTCCCACGCATGAGTGGGAGACCCCTCGAGGTGCAGGATGAAGCCCGGGGTAGGAAGAAAAGTGGAACAAGGGTCTTCCATTTGAACTTCTGATATAGGGCTGTAATTGCTAAGGGTGGCCCCACCTTCAAAATGTTAGTAAGTATTCTACCTCGGAAGAGTGAATTCCGTGTTTGCAGAACAGGAGAGTTCAGGGAGCAGCATGGTTCACCTGGGACGCTTTAGTCTGGAAAACCAGCTGCAGGACTGTCAGGCCTAACGCTAAAACCATTCTATATTCTATATCTGCAGAGTTGGGGTGAGGTATGAGACTGAAGTTTCAGGTGCTCACACCAGTCTTGCATAATTATCTTTCTTCTTTATGATGACCGTGCGCAGGGAGTCCTTTTTCCTCTGTGCGATCATCTATTCTCAAAACTCCAGGAGCAGAGGGCAAACGCAAACCCGGTTTCTCGATTGCGAATCCCTGTGGACCGCGCACCAGGTGGCCTTTGCATTTCCTGACACCTCCCTTCTGCAAACCACTTAAGAGCCTCTCAGGTCAATGTCTCGTACCCCGCGCAGGGGCCAGGCTTCTGGAAAGGCTTTCTGCCCCAGCGCGGCGCCACCCGGCCGGGCCGAGGGCGTGGTCGTGAATCCCCACCGACAGCGCCAGTCTGGATTTAAAAGCGGCTCCGGGACAGGTGGCGGGCTGAAATGCGGCTCTTTTATCTCCCCTATCCCCACCAAAATAAGTCACCTACAAAGGATGCCGGCCTGGGACAGTGACTAAGGATTTGGAAGAAAGGCTGGAAACGACTAGGCGGGGCAGTCAAGGCTACTGCCCTGTTTACCAGCCACACGGTCGGACTTCAGGCTCAAGTCGATCCCGCCCTCCCAACCTGTTCACCTGTTTGGAGCCTCCCTCGCGCTTCCTGCCTGGACAGGCGAGGTCACCCACTCGAAGTCAGCAGGCCTGGGCAGCCCTGGGTGCGTCCCGGCCAAAGCCCGGCCCTCCTCCCCACCTACGCACGCTGAGCGCTCGCCCCTCGAGGTCCCGGGAGCCTCTCCCGCCGCCCAGCTGGCCCCAAACACGCCGGGAAGTCCTCGCTGGCTCATTTCAGAGATGCCGAGTAAGAAAGAAAAGGCGGCTACTTTGCATTCTGCAGCTGCTGGGACGCCGGGGCTGAGAGCGCGGACCCGGGATCCCAGCCCCCGCCCTGGAATGGAGCCGGCCGTCCACAGCTCGCCCGAAGTGGGGGCCCACGCCGCCGCGCCGCGTGCCCCGCACTTACCTTGCCTCTGGCTATCAATTCCATGATGTAGCCAAATTCACTTATGTCCCCCGACTCCGACATGGTTACGACCCTTCACAAACTCTGGCGGACAGAGGCAGGTGCATCGAATTTGTTCTTTCTCTCTCTCTCTCTTTCTCCCTCTCTCTGCTTTTCGGTCTGTTCTGCCCAGCGCCTCGCCAGTATGCTGTTAAAGGGCGGAAATGAGAAAGCGGGAAAACAAGCGAAAAGCGGGGTTGGGTGGGAAGAAGGCCATAGAAGGCTCCTGGGCAGCCCCGGCTGGTGTGCTGGGCTCTGGGTGAAGCGGTAGATGCCCGGCGATGTAACGGAACAAACGAGGGCGGCGGCGGCGGCAGCAGCGGCGGTGAAATACACACCAGGCGGAGCCCGCGCCGAGGCCCCGCCTCCTGGGGGTCGCGGCCGGCGCCTCTCGCCCGGGTCCGACCGCCGGCGTGACAAACACCAACACAAAAGCGGGGCCGCTCGGGGCGCGGCGCGTACCCAGCCCTGACACCCACGGGGCGGTTAAAGCGGTGCTTTATCCGCTGCCCCGGGAAGTGGCCGTCCGGAGCTCCCAGCGAGAGGACCAGGGAAACCCCATCACACTGTCTGGAGGTGCGAGGGCAGAAAGAATGAATGCAGAGGAAGCACAACAAAGGATCTGGCTGCCAGAGCCGGAAAAAAATAATAATAAGTGAGGGCTCAGGAAATGGCAACGCCGCATCTCAAGTCAGCCTTCCTGAAATCCAATAGGTAACAAAGACCAAACCCAGCGCTTTTGAGATGAGAACAAATACAAGGATTGTATTTTAAACACTCTAAGTGTATAAGGTCGATTGTATCTCTATATCCTCTTGATACTCAACCTTCTCTTAATTAAAAAAAAAAAGAGAGAGAGAAGAGAAAAAAAGCATTTCTGCCAGCAAGGAAGGTTCCTAGACAAACACTGTCCCCTTTACTTACCACTAACTCTGCAGTTATTCGTTTCATTGATTGAGTTAAATATTCAGTGCATGTTTCTCACATTTTACACTTCTTTTTTATATAGCAGCTCCCCTAGGAGGCTGCAGCTGAAATGGCCTCTCAGTCCTCTCTCTGCTTCATTCATACCTGACAATCTTTGCTTCTCTTGAAAAGAAAACTTGGCTGAACAAAGTTAGTACTGGTCTATTACTCCACTCTAGGCAGTCTTACCTTTCTTAAAAAGGTGGAAAGTGACAAGGTCTGAGGTTTTGTACCAAAAAAATAAATAAATTTTAAAAAATCTGCCAGCAATAATTAGATTAGACATACATATAAGATTTACTACAAGAGTGAACCATTTTCATTAATCAGGTTGGCAGAGTTTGTGCTGGGCTCAGCATCAGTGGTAGGGTGCAGTGTGAAAATGACCTAATTTGTAGGAGCATAGAAGTTTGCAGGCTTGATGAGACAGGGGTTTTTCTTGTTTGCCTCTTCTTTTGGTCATTTTTAAATTTCTTCTCTCTGGCCCAGAAGTCCAAAAGTATACAACTATTTTTTCCTGCACACCTCTTCTTAGTAAGTATCCAATGAATGCTCCTCGACTGTTCTATCAGAACCTTGCTCCTCTTCTTCAATGTGTTGGTCCTAATAGCCTGTTAGAGCAAGCAAAAATTAATGTGCTAGGTGTTTATTTTGGAGGACTCATTAGCAGATTAGACACAATCATAAGGCTTTTTGTTTCAACGCTGCTTGTCCTAAAGTTTTGTAGAACCTTGCACATGATCTTTGCTTTCATAAGGCAAAATAAAATAATTCAGATAAGGTCTGTAGCTATGAATGGATTTCTCCCTAATATTAGCAATGCTTGACAGATTGCGCTAAAAGTGAAGGTTTTTCATGCCCAGAATGGCTTCTGGCACATGATAAAAATCACAGTGTTAGAGCTAAACAACTAGTCTTATGTCTGCTTTACAAGCAGGAAGGAGGAAAGTAGAGACAAAGGGGCATACAAGCCAAATGTTTTCCCCTAAAAACTTTCCCCCAAAGCCCATCGAGTGACCTTCATGTATGTCTCCCTGTGAGAAATGGGTCATGTGTCCATCCCTAGCTGCAAGGAAGGCTAGAAGGTGATTATTTTACTCTGGGAACATTGATTGCTACTCTAAACAAAATCAAGGATTTCTTATAAGGAAAGGGAGAGACATATCAGGTAGGAAACTGATAGTTTCTACTACTCCTGGGGTAGGCCCATTCAATTTCTTGAGTTTTATTTTTATCTTCTATGAAATTACTGGTTTTGAATAAAATGGTATCTAATCCTTTCTGCTCTTAATGCTAAGACCTCTAGATTCCTTTGCCATCTGGCAACACTACCTGCCACTCTTTTCCCTGAAAAAGTTGTATTATAAAAGGTCTACCCACCTGATCACTTGCTACTAGGAAATACTCCAGGAAAATATCCTTATAAGTTGCTTGGATTCCTACCAGAGACCAAGATGGGGTGTGGGTATGGACCTTAGAATCAGCTGCTGCAGTGGGAGAGAGTAGAACCACCCGAGTCCAGATAGGTGTCCAGCAGTTAGAACCCGGATAGGGTCCATGGCATTTGCCACTCTTGATTGTTGTTAGTGTGCAAAGAACATTGTGGAACAATAAAGACCTTTCAAAGATGACAAGCATACAAAATGAAGACAACATTAAAATTTCCCCTGAAATTCTATGCACAGATTTCAAAGACACAGAATCAGACAGTTAACAGGTATCAAACAAAAATTGCTTTTTTATTTCTCTTACTTCTAAGAACAAAATTAGGTTTTAAAAATATTTTTTCTTTATTTATTTAGAGAGAGAGAAAGGGAAAGGGAGAGAGAGAAACATTGATGATGAGAGAACTTCAATTGGCCACCTCCTATATGCCCCCCACTGGAGACTGGGCCCACATCTTGGGCATGTGCCCTGACCAGGAATCAAACCAGAAACCTCTTGGTGCATGGGTGGATGCTCAACCAATGAGCCACACTAGCCTGGCCAAAATAAGATTAATATCATACAGAGCAATGCCAAACTTCATTCTCCAAAGGAAACAAAGATTTAAAAATTAATTCATATTTCTCAAAAATCATGAAATTAACATGACAGATGCTGCTTCACAAGGAACTTCCCAACTAGGAGAAAGATATTTAACAGAGGGATTATGTGATGTATGACTTTTTCACAATGAGAAGACTAGTAATATTAAAGGGTCACATGCTGTGGGAAATCTGCTAATTTCCAACTTCCATGTAAAGGAAAAAAACTTTTCAGTATAATTTTCTATTGCCATGCCAGTTGTTGAAATTACTGTGACCTGAGCGACAGCTTTTGACTTATTTTCATGCACAGCACTCTATTTTCTCCATCTAATGGTAATCAACATAACACATAATAGTTTCAACAAATAACATTAACAAAATACACATTCTATGTTTTTTTAAACTGTAGACACAGATTATAATTGCATTTGTGAAGGTTTAAAAGTTGAAATCTATCATGATTAATGTTTAGCAGTTTAAGAGTTAGAGACTAGAATAATCTAAAAAGATCTTGATTTTAATAAACCCTCATATTACTGCAATAGTTTTTATTTCAAAAGTACAAACGTAAGTAGCTTTTTTTTTTTTTTAAAATTGATATTTTGAGAGAGAGAGGAAGGGAGAGAGAGATAGAAGCATTGATTGGTTACTGAGGATTGAGCCAGCAACCTGGACATGTGCCCTGACCAGGAATCAAACCAGAACCTCTCAGTCCATGGGACTACGCTCAATCCACTGAGCCACACCAGCAGGGCACATGTAGCTTTCTAAGACAAATTATATCCTAGCACCTGAACCCAGAATGGTCATTTAAAACACCAAAGTTGTTTAGCCCTGGCCAGCATGACTCAATAGTCAGAGCATCAGCCCTCACACTAGAAGGTCTCGGGTTCAATTTCTGGTCAAGGGCATGTACCGAGGTTGCAGGTTCAATCCTCAGCCTCAGTCCAGGCACAGGAGGCAACCAATAGATGTGTCTCTCTCACATTGATATTTCTCTCTCTCTCTTCTCTCATTCTCTCTTCTCCTCCCCTGTCCCTTCTACTCTCTCAAAAAAAAAAAAAAAATCAATGGAAAATATCCTTGGTAAGGATTAACAAAAAAAATAAAATACTAATGTTTTTTAACATTTAAAATTATTGAGGTATAATTTACATTCCATAAAACCCACCAATTGTAAGTGTACAGTTTAGTGATTTTTTTTAATCCTCACCAGAGAATAGTTTTCCATTGATTTTTTCAGATAGAGTAGAAAGGAGGGAGAGAGAAACATCGATGTGAGAGAGAGACATCAATTGGTTGCCTCCTGCACAACACTGACCAGGAGCAGGGATCGAACCTGCAATCCAGGTACACGCCCTTGACTAGGAATCAAACCCTCCACCCTTTGGTCTGTGGGCCGACGCTCTAACTGCTGAGCCAAACTGGCCAGGGCAAGTTTAGTGATTTTTATTAAATTATGGAGTTGTACAATCATCTCAAAATCCAGTTTTAAAATATTGGAATATCTCTCCATTTGTTGAGATTTTTAAAAATGTCTCTTAAGTGTATTGTTTTTTTATTATTGTGAATAAAATGTATTTCTCAATCTCATTTTTGGGTTGTTCATTGCTTGTATATAGAAATACAACTAATAACTGCATAATGAGCTGCATCTTGCACTATTGCAAAGTTCATTTATTCTAATAGATTTTATTTGTAGATTCTTTATATTACAGATACACCTCAACATACAATGGGGTTATGTCCTGATAAACCCATTGTAAGTTGAAAATATCTTAAGTTGAAAATGCATTTAATGCCCAGACGGTGTGGCTCAGTAGTTGACCCATGCACCCACCAAGAGGCTGCCGGTTCGATTCCTGGTCAGGGCACATGCCCAGGTTGTGGGCCAGATCCTCGGTGAGGGGCGTGCAGGAGGCGGCCAGTTGATGTTCTCTCTCATCGATGTTTCTATTTCTTTCTACCTCTCCCTTCCTCTCTCTCTAAAAAACCAATAAAAGAAAAAAAATTTAAAAATGCATTTAATACTGATGCGTTAGTATGGATTGTTTATCCTCATGACCAGGCGGCTGACTGGGAGCTGTGGCTTGCTGTCACTGCCCGTCATCGCGAGAGAGAATCATACCACACATTGCTAGCCTAGCCAGAGCTCAAAATTCAAAAATTCAAAGTTCAGTTTCTACTAAAGCTTTCTCACCATCGTAAAGTCAAAAAAGCATAAATCAGGGACTATCTGTGTTTATAATTAAAGCTCTAATTTTCCTTTTCAATCTGTATGCTTTTAATTTATTTTT